TATATATGTGTGTGTGTGTATGTGTATATATATGTGTGTGTGTATGTGTATATATATGTGTGTGTATGTGTATATATTTGTGTGTGTGTATGTGTATGTGTATATATATATATATGTATATATATATATACGTATATATATATATATATATATGTATATATATATGTGTATGTGTATATATATATATAGATGTATATGCATGTATGTATATATATATATATATATGTGTGTGTATGTATATATATATATATATATATATATATATATATATATATATATATCCATTTTCTTTACCCGCTTATTTCATTTTGGGTCACGGGGGTCACTGGTGCCCATGTCCAGCAATCACTGTGCGAGGGGCGGGGTACACCCTGGACGGGTCTCCAGTCCATCACAGGGCCACATAGAGACAAACGAGACAAACAACCATTCACTCTCTCACTCACACCTAGGGACAATTTAGAGTTACCAATCAGCCTAACATGCATGTTTTTGGTCTGTGGGAGGAAACTGGAGTACCCGGAGAAAACCCACGCATGCACGGAGAGAACATGCAAACTCCACCCAGAAAGGCCCCTGGACCGGGGTTTGAACCAGTGACCTGCTCGCTGAGAGGCAGCAGCTCTACTAGTTGCGCCACCGTGCTGCCCTATATTTATATATATATATATATATATATATATATATATATATATATATATATGAATGTTCTTGTTCAGTACCCTAAGATGACTTCTGTAGTGACTTGGCACTATATAAATACACTGAATTTAATTGGATTGAATTGATGTTAAACAATATAATATTTTTTTAGGAATGATTGCTGAATACATGTTCTATAGGCTACAGTGTACTTATACTTCATTGCTACAGTGAATTATTTGCCTCCCTCCTGACAATTAGTTCTGAGCATTTCATGTGACTGAAATATCTCGTAGAAGTTCTGGATTTATTCAGGGAAACAAATCAGAGACAAACCCTGGGAATTTTGTTTTCATGAAATACTAGGAACCCCATCAAGTAATGCATTTTTAAAAGCTGAACCAAAGATAAATCCTTGGAGATATCACCTCAGATCTTTTAATGGATTTGTTTTGTGTTAAGGAATCAGACTGTAAAGAACTTAAGGATGCTTTGAAAAGATTTATTTCAATAAATCAATTACAGTATTATCGTTTAGTTTAAGGTCACATTACAGTTCATGTTTATGTGGAGATAAAAAAAAAAGATGTGACGCAGTAGCAGCAGAATAATTTGATTATAACACACAGAAGATGGATTTTTCATAGAACCAATTAGAAAAGCTCTTTAACATCATCTGATCCAGAACCGAACACCAGCTCATCATCAGTCATCAGAGGAGGAACAAGGAGAAACGTATTTCTTATATCATCAGATCTTGATGAAAGAATGTTCCCTCTGATTGGAGCTTCTTGCTGGTTAAAACAAAGATTGTGTTTTTTTATTGGTTGATCATCTCCTCTACACCTGGACAGACCAAGGCTTGAAGGTTCCTGGTTCTGCAGGAGGACACTGCAACCAATAACAACAGAAATACTCAGAATAAGACAACTTGAGAGGCAACAAAATCTACAAATATTACAAATCTTGAGTTTCCATACCAGTTTGGTGAAGCGGTCACTGCAGGTGTTGCGGATCCTCTCCGCAGAGGCGGGGCTGTCCAGCCTAAATGGTCCAGTGATGCCCGACTCGGCCCGAGCGGCACTGATGGCGTCTTTGATGGCATAGAAAATGGACGCCGCCAAGAAAAAAGGGGGCTCTCCCACCGCCTGGCCAATAAACAGTGATGAGAAACAAGTCACGTTCTTTGTAAAAGTGGTAGTGTCACCGCAGTGTTACCTTGGAGGAGAAGATGGCCTTATCGTTGGGAGCATCTCGGAGCAATGAGACGCTGAGCTCCGTAGGAACGTTGCCAAAGGCTGGGATCTTGTAGGAACCTGGACCCCGAGTGAGGAGGACTCCCTGAGGGGAATAGTGGAGCTCCTCTAGGGTGAAGAGGCCCAGACCCTGCATGAAGCCCCCCTCAACCTGCATCCAGAGAAGGACCGTTAACAAGACAGATAAATTAATTTGTACACTTTCATTAAAAACAGGAAATCCCACAAAGATCACTGAAATAATCTGAAACGGAAAAATGTGAAGAAGGGAAATAAAAATACTAAAGCTCAAATCAGTTGCGTTCCAATTTCTTACAATAAGGATTGTACCCTGAACTTATTACTTTGTGGCAATCCCTGTAATCAAGAGATTTCTGTGACTCTCCTTGATTCTTCTCTGTCTACTGGTATTTTAGGCCACTTCTCATGATTAAACTGTTCCAGCTGTCTCATGTTGGAAGGGTTTCTTCTCCAGACTGCACGTTTCAGCTCCTTCCACAGATGTTCAGTAGATTAGGGTTCAGAAGGCCTTTTAAGAATAGTTCACTGTTTGATTCTTAGCCATTCTTCAGTGTTTTTAGCTGTGTATTTTGGGTCATTATCCTGATGAAGGACCGTGACTGAGACCAAGCTTTATAACACTGAATAGCGCATTTTGCTCCAGAATATGAACGAGCATGTTTTTTTCTTTAACAAAAGGGTACAAACTAATTTGTCTCAAAACCTGAGGAGGTGCTAAAGAAGAAACCAACTATTTGAGAAAATGCATCTATGTTCTTCTTAGTGGTAGCAGCAAACTGAATTTCCTGAATAAAACCAGCTCACCTGTCCTATGTCGATAGCTGGATTCAAGCTCTGACCAACGTCCATCACTATAGTGGTGCTCAGATTCTGTAACAGAGAAAAACTGGTCTACACCTCATTGCACACTATGATCTGTAGCTTTAAACACCAAGGGGCCTAATACACATCCTTGTGGAAAACCTATCCAGGAAAAAACAAACCATAGATTTTCTATGTTTTAACTGCATTTCTGGCTTAATTTTATGCAGACCTTGTGAGCTCCAGTCAGACAGTCGATCTCCACTTCCGAACAAGCCACCCCATAGCTGAAGTAGTGAAACGCTCTGCCTGAGTTTAACTCAAAGCTGTAACCCAGATCTGGAGTCCTGGCAAAGCAAAAGAAAAACTATGATACAGTCATTGTTTGTGAAATAGACAGCTGCAACTCAGGAAATGAACTCACTTGTAAAAGCCGTTTGCACTAAGGTTGACTCTGTCGAAGTACGCAGTCTTCACCTAATCAAACACAGACAGGAGGAACCCTCAGAACTGCATCTTTAAGTGGAACAACCTTAAAGTAAAGTTCTTCTGGACAACAAATCAGATTTTATTGGTGCTTAAGGAACATAAAATAGTTAGCATCCACACATAAGTGAATATTCTCAATAATCCTGCCTACCCAGTCTTCCCATGATCCTTCGGGGTTCTTAATTTTGAATGGTTCCAGACGTTCCTTCAGGATCTCACAGGCGTTCTGCACAGCAGCTCCATTGAGGTCGGAGGAAGCGGAGGCAGCGGTGGGGCTGGTGTTGGCCACTGTGTTGGTGCTGGTCTCTGAGATGTGGATTTTTGAGCAGGGGATACCCAGAACCCTGCTGGCAACCTGAAGACACAGATCAAGGTCATCGAGTTTGCAGATGATACTGTTGTTTTATGTTCTCTTGTCATCTGTTTATTAGCTCTATTCAGTGGGTTTAATCATGTCCATGTGATTCCTAAGTTTGGAAAAAGGTTTTTAGAAACCTTTAAATGCAGGAAAGAAAGAAAAATAGTGGATTTAACTAACTGCAGAACAATTTTCTATTTTCCTTTAAGCCATTTTAAATGAGCTTTGGTCCATAGATCACAAATGGCTCCTTAGCATGATGGAGCATCAAGCAGTATTTGCAGATGTCAAGATGAATAAGGACATTTTGTAAATCCCTTCATTCTATTTTTATTTACATTTTACATGTATCAACTTTTTCAGAATTGGGATTGCACCCAATATTTTTTTTCAGCTCTGTACCTGAACCATCTTAGTGTGGAGTCCTTGTCCCATCTCAGTCCCTCCATGAGTTAACAACACAGAGCCATCTTTGTAGATATGAACCAGAGCTCCGGCCTGATGACAAACATTTACAATAAAATCTCATCATTATTTTAAGGAAACCGTTTTTCAGCAGTTAAGTGTTATTGTGGATCAAACCTGGTTTAAGAAGGTGGCTGTAAAGCTAATGCCAAACTTGGTGGGCACCACAGCAAGCCCTCGTTTGGTCCATCGGTTCTGTCTGAGGAAAAAAAACAACAGAATAGGTCGATTTTTTACATACATCACAGCCTTTGCTTTTTGTGATTTTCTTATCATAGAGAAAAATATTGTATGTGTTACAGAAATAAATTAGATTTAAAAAACTCGGGCAAGTTATAAGAGATGTAGGTTTTACAGGCCAAATGTTATGTCACACTGTTTTAGAGATTTTTTCATCAGAAGAAATGTCTGTCCTACCATTTTAGCATTTTACACAACTCTTTTAGTCTTTATGGGGGTTGTTTGGAGCTTTTTTGTTCTTTTTGTTTTGTACATTTTCTCTGTGGACATCAAAAGTATCGGTGTATCTGGATACTAATTGAATTTTTCCTAAACCCCCACAGAGCCTCAAAGTCCTTGTGTACGAACTCTCTTTGGTCCAGATCAGTTAACCTGGCGGCGTCAAAGGCAAAACCTTTGAAAAAAAAATCAAAAACCAGTCAAAAACCTGTCAAAATCTTTATTAAACTTTAAAGCTTTTGTTTTGTATGGAGTTACCGATGGTCATCCTTTACATTGACACCAAACTTGGACAGCATGCAGACTATAAACTGTAGTCAAACATTTTTTTAATACTATGTTCAAAATAATTTATTTTTTACTTGTTGTAGAGGTGAACAGCAGCTTGGCGTTGCACATATCCTGAACGTGACAGACATTCATTCCAGCAGCGATCCAACGTGAGCCCGTACAGGATCTGATTGTATGGCGTTGACTCTCCATCCAGGTACAGGTTCAGCCGACGCACCTGCAGGGAGACAGAAATACCAGTTGAATGCTGTGCAACCACCAGCTTGTCACAGGTTTACCTGCTCACACACCTCTTCAGCTGAGCGGCCCAAACTATGAGCCACATCAGTGATCCAGTTCTCAGCAACCATCATGCCTTGGGGTCCTCCAAAGCCTCTGAAGGCGGTGTTGGACGGCAGGTTGGTGTGACACATGAAGCCTTGGCCACGAATGTTTGGCACTCTATAAGAGTTCTCCATGTGAAACAGAGCACGCTCCATGATCTGGACAATAATAACAGTATCATCAGCGTAAAGTGTGATAACATGAAGAACATTTGTGGTTCTAGATGAATACTCACTGCCTGAGACAAGTCCATGGAGTTTCCAACATTACTGTAGAAGGACGCATCCACAGCGACCACCTTGCCACTGTTCAGAAACCCTACCTGCAGCGAGAAGGCAGCAAAGAGTTAATCTAACCTAGTTCCAAACTCGGAGCTTTAGCAGAGGATGCTTGCCCACCTTGTACTTTCCATAAAATGGGTGTCGTCCTCCCGTGATCAGCATGTCCTCATCTCTGTCCAGCATACATCTGACAGGTCTCTTCAGCCTGAAACAAAGAAACATATTCGCTTAGTCACATTTTAAAAGTTTTGAGTTTTAAAAACCAAATAGATACACCTACTTGTTTGCTGCCACAGCAACCACAGGGGACAACACCACACTTCGGCTTTCTTTTCCTCCAAAGCCTCCGCCCATCCTCTTCACACGAATCAACACCTTGTTAGCAGCGACACCCAGAGCCTTCGCCACGAAACACTGAAGAATAGACAGACAGATATATGTAGTGTGATTATATCTGGTTGTTCGCAGGAGAGAATATGAGGTTTTGTTGTGTCTTGTTGCCTCTTGAGAGAAATGTCTTTTAAGGACCCAACAAAGTTCAGTCGGGTCATATGGATGGCTTCTTTTCTTGCCGAGACGTTTCGTCCTTCTTCATTCCGAGGAGTCACAAACAAACTCCGTCCCACAAGCAGCACACTCACATAGTGGACCAACCAGTTTTATGGTTATAAGATGCTTTCTAGAGTCAGCCCTCTTCCCCGTCGACTCCTCTGAGGCAGCCATAGCCAAAGGGGTTCAAAACACCAAAGTTCATGCTCAATAATCCAAGTAGAAAATCCAACAAAGTTCAGTCAGGTCATCTAGATGGCTTCTTTTCTCTTTTATTTTATTTTTTTTACCTGGATTATTGAGCATGAACTTTGATGTTTTGAACCACTTTGGCTATGGCTGCTTCAGAGGAGCTGACAGGGGAGAGGGTGAACTCCAGAAACCATCTTATCACCAGCAAACTGGTTGGTCCACTATATGAGTGTGCTGCTTGTGGGACTGAGGTTGTTTGTGGTTCATTGGACTGATGAAGTCCTTTGGATGAAGGACGAAAAGTCTTGGCAATTAAAGACTGTCCAGATGACCTGACTGAACCTTGTTGGATTTTTTTTTTTTTTTCCCTGGATTATTGAGCATGAACTTTGATGTCTTTTAAGGACTTCTTTAATCTTGTTTTCTTGAGTATTTCTTTTGTTTGGCTAATGATTTTCTGATTTCTTGCCAATTAGCACCTTATTTTTTGACCCCATTTGAGCAATACAAAAAACTAGAGAAATTGCATTTTCTGTAAAAGTGTAATGAGATGCTAAGCGTTGAATGACTTTGCTAAAATTTGCTGAAGAAGCTGAAACTGAGATTTAAAGCTAAGCAAACAGAACACTAACTAAACGGAGCAAAGGGGTAGCCAAAAGTAGCAAAAAGCTAGCAAAAATATAAAAGTAGCAGCGCAGTAGATAAAAGTAGCATACAATGAAAAAAAAGCAGTCAGATGGCTGAAGCAGATTTCAAAGAATAGTGTTTTTAAACTAACTGAAGAGATCTCAGTGTATTTTTATGGCGGAAATATTTATGAAGTTCAATATTTTAAAATGTAAAAACATTACAAAAACCCAAAGACATAGGACCTGTCTCCTGAATGAGCTAAAGGTTTTGATATGTGAATGACAAAAATAGCACAAATCTGTAGAAGTAGTTAGACTGTAAACATAAAATTCAGACAAATGACTAAGCATTCACACTGTTATAATGGTTCCAATGGTTCCAAACTGGAAGTTGGTTCCACAAGAGAGGAGCCAGATAACTGAAAGGTCTTCCTCCCATTCTGCTTTTAAAAACTCTAGGAACCGTAAGTAAACCAACAGTCTGAGAGTGAAGTACTCTGTTAGGAAAATATGGATCAACAAGATCTGTAATATAAGATGGAGCTAGGTTGTTGAGGGTTTTGTAGGTTACAAGTAAGATTTTGATTTTGATTCTGAATTTGACAGGGAGCCAATGGAGAGAAGCTAAAACTGAAGAAATACCTCCCATTAAGACTCTGCCAGCAGCATTTTGGATCAACTGAAGATGTTTTAAACAAGTTTTAGGACACCCAGATAACAAACCATTGCAACAGTCCAGTCTGAGCCTATCAGAGTGTACCTGTGTATCAGAAGGAGACTGGGTGGAAACAAAGAGCTCCATCTCTTCGTCTTCCCGAGGAACAGCCAAAGTGACGTGTGTCTCCAGGTAGAAATGTTCCTGACCTCCAATATGAATCTCGCCTGAGAAACAATCAGTTATCAACACTTGATCAAGAGGAGATGGTTAAAGGTAGACTCACAGAGACAGTCCTACCCTCTAGGATGTGCTCAGCCTGTTTAAACCCTGCCTCCAGGTCTCCATTTTGAATTGTTCTGATAGGTTCATAAAATGAGCGGGCGGTGATGGCCTCCTGTCAGTGAAATTAACATATTATGTCATTACAAAAGAATTTAATTAAGAAAGCTGAGCCCTGATTGGTCCGCAGCAGTCCAGTTGTGTCTTGTCTCACCTGGATGGTAACAACAGGCTGCAGCTCTTCATACTGGATCTTTACAGCTTTTGCAGCTCGCTGAGCGTGAACCTGAGTGTCAGCTACTACGGCGCCGATGATGTGACCCACACAGGTCACCTGCACAGCGAACAGACGTGCTATCAGCCTGAACTTTAACGCTTTCCGATTGGTCTAATTAACAAAAACACACCTGGTTGTCCGCAAAGACGGTCTCATCTAGCCTGATTCCGGTCACATTACTGCCAGGAACGTCATCAGCGAACAGAAAGCTGACGACACCAGGTAAACATTCAGCTGCCGACACGTCCACAGAGCTGCAACAAGCACATACACATGTACAAGTGTGTCTTATTCAGGCATCTAACAAGGTTAAGTCAGGTCTTCTGGACGGATTATCCGTACAACGGACCTGACTTAACCTTGTTAGATTTTTTTCTACCTGGATTATTGAGCATGCATCAGGACACTTATTCAGGTGCGTTGTACAAGAGTGTTATACTGTACAGGTGGCGCTGACTCAGGTGGGCTGCAGGTGTCTTACAGTATTTGAGCATGAGCCTTGGTGCTGGTGATGAGCGCCAGGTAGAGCTCATTCTCGTATGTCGGCATATCATCGCAGTAAACTGCCTCACCCGTGGCCTGCTTCAAGGCCGACAGGTGCATCATGGGCCGGCCCACCACGTCATCCTGGCACTGTCCCTCTGGAACCGTCTGGAGGAGGAGAAAGGATCACATCTAGATGGTAAATAATTGTTTGTTTTTTGGCCTCACTGGGGAGTTTGACAAACCTGATAGATCTGAACGCTGGATGGCGTTTCTTGATGATACACCTGCGTGGCGCTCAGAGACTTTGAGCTGACCTCCTGCACGTCAACACCCTGACAGAACAGCAAATCTTTTATTTTTAATTTTTATTGTTTCGATGGAACATCAGATTCTAGTTTAATCAGGTGGAACAAGTGGAATGCAGACCTGCAGTCTGAGCTTTTGTAGCACCGTCAGGTAGAACTTGTAGAACAGACTCAGAGTCAACGTTCGCCGGTATGTCACCATGCCACCAGGCGCTGATGGGTCAAGGGTCATTTCCTCAGCCAATGACGAGCAAGCCTCTTGCAGAAGCTCCTCCCCCCACTGCCTGTATGACAACCCACATCACAGCCTTCCATTCAGTGGTGTAGTATACGTGATACGCAGGTATACAGGGTATACCCACTAGAAAAGATAGAGAATTTCAGTATAACCACTTAACAGTGCCCAATGATACATGACATACCATTAGGCACGTGTCATTGATACGCTAAATGGCAGTTAACCGCTTCCGTAACAATCTTATCTGTATGCAATGCTTGTTTATTACATTCGCTTATCCAGCGAATTATTGTATCAGTAATACATGTTTTGCTTTGATACTGTTTTGTAAATTCTGTGATGTTTTTAAGACAAAATCAATTGTTGCGCAGTTTGTTGTACATTTATTCAAATATATAAGCATCAGCGAAATTTGAAACGTTCAATATGCTTAAAAATCAAAGTAAATTGACACTTCCATTGTACTAACCAGTGTACTTTGGATTCTAAGCACAGTATACCCACTACAAATATGTAGACCACACCACTGCTTCCGTTCTTCCTTAATCTTTACTCACGGCATATTTCTTACCTTCCCAGCAGTTTATTTGCCGTCTTCTTGGCCAGCATCGTGGTTGGTGCCATGCCGCCATAACTCAGTCTCAGGTCCTCCACAACATCAGTCCCAGGAGTGAAGGTGACGCTCATCGCCGCAGTGACGATACTGATGTCATCCTCACGGCGAGGGGACTGCTTGAAGGCTGAGATGAACTGAGACTGAAGAAACAGAACAAGAAACATCGACAGTTGTCAGAGGACGATAGATGATGGGAGGGAATGATGGATTGGAGTTCACAGATTATTTAAAGATCTAGATAACGTCTAATTTGGGTTTTTTTAATCATTGGAAAAAGATTTTGGTTTACATGCATGTGGTTTTAGATGGTTTTCAGTGGTTTCCAGATAACTAATGGGGTTCCAAGTTATTAAAAGTAATAGGAGATAGAATGGTGTCCTACATCTTTGGTGATGGTTTCTTGGTGGGTTTCTACATGATTGTACAGTTGGTTGTTGGGTGTTACTGTTCCAGATCAATGGCAGCTTGGTTTTACCAAGTGCCATAACGACGGCGTTCCATACCTTTTTGCTGTATGGGATGTGCACAGAGATCAGGATCTCCTGCGGGCGAACGACCGTCCTCCTGTAACCTGTGAAGAACCTGTCGTCCATCTGAACTTCACGGCTTCCATCTGATGGAGAGGTCAAAGGTCAGGACCATGCTATATGGCTTACTGATACTCGTTTGATCTGTTAAAGAGCTAAACGACTCAAAACAAACAGCCGAGGGATAAATAATTATTTAATTGAATCTCAGATTTATTTACTCATGTTCTTTAATAACTTCATGTTCTGGTACAGATTTCACCAGAGTCTGAAACCATTTGTGATGTTTGTAACCAGGCTCTGATTACATAACACATGTTGAACTGGTGGAAACATTAACTAACAGTTTAGAGTTTAGTTTAAAGGTCACTTCAAGGTCCCCTGGATCAACTAAATACACTATATTGACGTGATTTCAGTCCAAAATATTGTAAATTATAAGACCTAGAGCTTTAGGAGAATTTTGAGTCAAAATAACTTAATTATTAAAGTGTTAATATTCTGAATAAAATAGTACCTTTGTCCATCAGAATGAGTTTGCAGCCTGCTGCCATAAAAACAGGGTTGAGGTCTGAAATTGGACTCGCCGTCATGATGTTTCCTCCCACAGCCTAAAAATACAACAGCACACGCACAAACCAAACTTATAACTTATTATTTAATAGTGTTTTATATAGTTTACTGAATCTGAACTCAGGGGGACAAATATACTTCCTGGAATCGTCCGCTCTAACATTCTTAATTGTTTGATATCTAATCTCTGCAAAACCTCTAACATTCCCAGGCCACCCAGTAGCATCTTGGCTCTGTCAGTTTATTGTAAATAGCTGGATTAATTGGTTTCGTATTGGACACAAACTATTCCTTCATATATTTTCTGGAGTGCCACCTTTATCGGCTCTTAAATTAGAACTGGATCCAGTTAATTACCTGGGAGGAGGTCTAAGCTATCAAATCCTTTGATTTACTGCTTGGTTCTGCTTATTTATAATCCATTTTTTTCATTATTATTTGAATTCAGAATAATCCAGAACGGATCCTAACTCTATTTTTTATTCTCGACTGTGGCAGTATTCATAAATATTTAGTGGATGCTGTCTATTTCTTAAGAAATCACTGATAACCTACTGCCCCAGTACTCCTGAACAGAATCAGACACTCACAGCTACGTTACGGATCTGTTGTCCGGCGAACCATCGCAGCTGCTCCAGGACAGCGAGGAAGACTTCGGACTGATGAGGATGAAGAGTCCTCACCGCCTGCCTCAGCACCGCTGCCATGTGGCTTAGGGTGCACGCCGCACCAAATGAAATACCTGAACACAAAAAGACCTTTATCCACATCTGGACCTTATTTTAAAAACTATAGCATGACAAATATTTCTGCTTTTAAAACTTTAGTTATGTTTGTGTTGGTTTGCCGTGTGAGCAGAAGGTTTTGCTGCAGAGATCTCTGCGTGAGTCTTTCTCACCGTCCTCCGTGTGAGTCACTGCATTCAGCTCAGGGATGAAGGCTGGAGCCAGAATGACCGGATAAACCATGTTCTTAAACTTTACTTCAATACCTGCCAACGCAAACAATGAAGGAGTTGATAAATACTGTAACGATTAGTTTTATATTATATAATTATGCATGAGAGCATAGGTGACTGAGTCAATGAACGAATGAAAGAATCTTTGACAGAAGCAGACAGACCCACTTCAGTGTTTCCCACCACCACTCGGGCCTCTGGATGTTTCCATTTCAGAAGCAAAAACTCATCCAGACTGTCCGGCTGCAGCCATGTTGTTCGCTCGCCATGAAAACACAGGGACTGTGACCTTTGACCTTTAGACAGACTCTAGATTAGAGGGGGGTAGGGGGCAGAGAGAATAAAAAATATGTACGGTGTACAAATTAAGTCATTAAACACATGAAGATTGAACACTTGGTTGTTGATATGTGCTGCTGACTATCCATGATGCTGATCGTATGCTGCTGTTGTTTGGCACATTGTTTTGTACTATAAGTTTTTAGTGTATTCTTAGTTTAGCATATTTCTTAGTTCATGTCTTGGATCTTACTACTGTTTTTCTTTACAATTTGTATTTTTGTTGGATGTAACTAGGACCCTATGTACATAGTTTTGTTCCACCTCATGTACCACATGTGATGTGAATGACAATAAAGTACCTTGAATCCTCTAGAACCAGTTGAAACTACAGTTCCCATGATGCATGATCATAAACTATCAAGAACCACTTTATAAATCTGCAGGAGCTACTTCCCATGCACTGAACCCAAAATGATTGTCTAAAATGAATGAATACATTCGACTGTATGCCGATGACATGCTGGGTTATGAGTGAAATGAATAATTTTACTTCTTTAATTTCACAATTTGGCATCGCTTGTTAAAAATAAGTTTTGGTGTTTTTTATTTTCATTTTGTGTGTGGGGGAGTGTGTGTGTGTGTGTGTGTGTGGGGGGGGGGTTACCATGAGTTCAGGGGGGAAGATGACTTCCTGTGTGGGGTCATAAGGTGCAAAATCTTCAGTGTTGAAGAGGGATGTGGCCTCCTGTTCAAAAACACAAATAGCCTTAAATTGACTGATCTGAGCACATTTGAAACAAAATGTGCTGATCCGAACACATTTGAAATGACAACACTTACATCAACATACTCCTCTGAGTTTTGGAGAACTTTGTTCTTATTCTTCATGCAGCATCCGTTTTTCCCTTTACCACCACAGCATCCCCCATCCTACAGGAAATACACCACCAAAATAAAGTCCAGAAGTGACACTCTATAGTTAATTCAACCTAAATATTTTAAATGTGTTCTCACCAAAGTGAAAGTCTTATATCCATGCAGAATGGGTCTGTATCCAGTGCAACGGCACAGATTTCCTGAGAGAAAGTACACCGACAATGATTTTTGTATTTTGGATGTTTTTTTTTTTTGTTTTGTTTTTTTTTTTTTTACTGTAGCACAGACATCGAGGCTACAAAAGTTATGTTCTATACCATTAAGTCCTGAAAATCATTTAAAAGTAACAATGTAAAATGTAAAGAAATGTAACAATGTATTTTTTTCCCCAAAGGAGAACAAATTGATGTTCTACAAAACTCAACAAAAAAGTATATTCTATGTTGTTTCATGTAAGAATTCACAAAATACAGTAAAATTAAAACATTAACAATATAATAAATTAAAATTCATTAATGATGTTGTAAATTAAAAGGGTATTACTTTACAATAAGGCTCCCCTTATAGATGGCTAATAAATAGTACGTAGATATATAGTTAATGCCTATATAAACACTTTATAAATCATTAATAACTGCTTATTATGCATTAATTAAGGATGAGAAAAAGACAAAACTGACCAGTTTCTTCTGAGCCAAATCTGTTCATCTATGTATTTCATCTAGAGTTGTTATATTAAACATTTCAGACTAACTTACTACCTTGTAAGTACAACAAGCATTTGTAAAACTAATATTTTTAGGATATAATATTACTAGTAGATACTTATAATGCACTCGTAAAGTACACTATTATATGCTAAAAAATATATGTTTACAAATGCTTATTTTGCTTACAAGGTAGTAACTTAGTCTGAAATGTTTAATATAACAACTAGAACAGATTTGGCAACAAACTGGTCAGTTTTGTTCATCACCCTTAATTAATGCATAATAAGCAGTTATTAATAATTTATAAAGTTTTTATAGATGAGTTAATAATGTATCTATAAACTATATATTAGCCATCTATAAGAGGAGCCTTATTGTAAAGTTGTACCATTAAAAGCAAGTGGAATTCAGCTGCCAGTAAATTTTACAGCCATCTCTTTAAAGTGTAATTTAGTTCCGAGTTGGCTTGAGCGGATTTGTCTGTAACTCTTTCCACATCTCACATAGTGAAACTAATAAAGTTCCGAACCTTGGAAGGCTTCTTCCATGTCGGCCATCTTTGGCGTGGGGTTGTTTCTCAGTAATGCGTACATGGACATGACAATTCCTGGTGTGCAGAAACCACACTGTGAGCCGTGAGACTTGGCGATTCGTTCCTAGACGTCAAAACACACATTCTCATTAAACATCAAATAGTATTTCAGAACACTAGTCTTGTTTTTATTCATTTGTTTCGTGTGTTTAACCTACAAACCTGATTTTGGGTTGAATGAAAGAAATGCGTCATTTTGTCTCCTGTTTGATAACAAGGTGGGCTTATAGGTAAGAGTCAGAGTCTTAACTGGAGTTAGTAGGAGAGATTAGATCTCTCCAGTTTTAGCTTCTCTCCACTGGCTCCCTGTCAAATCCAGAATATAATTCAAAATCTTACTTCTAACCTACAAAGCTCTCAACAACCTAGCTCCATCTTATATTAAAGATCTTATTGTCCCATATTTTCCTAACAGAGCATTTTGCTCTCAGACTGCAGGTTTACTTGCAGTTCCTAGAGCTTCCAAGAGCAGAATGGGAAGAGGATCTTTCAGTTATCGGGCTCCTCTCTTGTGGAACCAACTTCCAGTTTCTGTCCGTGATGCTGACACATTGTCTGGTTTTAAGACTGGGATTAAGACTTTCCTTTTTGATAAATCCTATAGTTAGGGTTGGATTGTCATGCTGCTATAGACTAATACTACTAGAGGAACTGACCTCATTTCCTTAAATGAATTGTAAAAATTCAATAGCTTTCATTTGATACTATTTCTATCTTAACATGTGATTCTCGACCTGCCATTGTGTATCTGTTCCTCTCAAACCCAGCCGGTCGAAGCAGATGATCGCTTGTCTTGAGCCTGGTTCTGCTGAAGGTTTCTTCCTCATGAGAGTTTTCCCTTTCCACTGTCGCCTTCATGCTTGCTCAAAATGAGTCTGCAATGAAGTTTAAATCCAAAGCAGTCTGCTCCTCAGATAATTAATGTTAAATTATTATTTTTATATATGAATGTTTCTGTTCAGTGCCCTGAGACGACTTCTGTTGCGATTTGGTGCTATATAAATAAACTGAATTGAATTGGTAATAAGGCATTTGTTCTTTACCTGTACAGGGTGCAGTTTTCTCGCCACACTGCCGATTCCCTCCACGGTTGTCACAGCAACCATGTGCAGGGAGCAGAGGGGGGCAAGACAGGCGTTGATGGCATAATGACTGAACACAGTTAAAGATGAATGTTCGTTTAACAGCTGTGAAATCAGGAAAAATCTGAGACGTCAGATGGAAGCACATGACTGCCACGGTGGCATGCTTCATTTTCACACAAAGAGGATACAGGAGCTGTTTGGTGTGTGGTTGGTATCTGGACAGCATGACTGTACACGCGCCGCATCCCCCTTCAGCACAACCCAGCTTAGTTCCGGTCAAACCCACTGAACACACACACAGACAGAGACAGGGTGAGCTTACAGTGCTGCAACCAATCATTGACAGAGATTCACGATAAAGTTCAGTAACCCTCGGCGTAAAACACTGAACTCTTGACTGCAATAAAACACAAGGTTTTATTAAGAGTTGAACTCAGGGGGGTGGGGGGTTAAAGTACCTTTAAAACATTTGAGGAGGTAGTCACAGAGCAGACGTGTGTTTGAGGTGAGAGAGTGTGCAAAAGGCCCATCTTTCTGTAGTTTAGTGCACGTTGCAAAGGACGTCTGCGAGTGTCCAAGTCTGAATGTGAGGACACTGTCCAAAGTTTAACACTAAAACCACCTCAGTAGACAACGAGAACATTACGAGAACATTGTTTCTGTCTGTAAGTGGTCACGTGACTGAGGTTATCTTCTTCTTCTTTTGGCTTTTCCCTCTTCAGGGGTCTCCACAGCGAGTCCTCCTCTTCCATCTCTGTCCTCTGCATCCTCTGTCCTCACTCCAACTTCCTCCATGTCCTCTCTAACTGCATCCATATATCTGCTCTTTGTCTTTTTCCTGGCAGCTGCATTTCTAACATCCTTCTACCAGTATACTCACTGTCCCTCCTCTGGACATGTCCACACCACTGTCCCTCCTCTGGACATGTCCAAACCATCTCAGTCTGGCCTCTCTAACTTTATCTCCCAGTTGTTCAACCTGTGCTGTACCCACAATGATCTCATTCCTAATCTTATCCAGCCTTGTCACTCCTAAGGAGAACCTAAACATCTTCATTTCTGCCACGTCCAGTTCTTTCTCCAGTCTTTTTGTCCATGTCTCTGTCTCCAGACCATGCAACATATCTGGTCTCACCACTGTCTTGTAAACTTTTCCTTTGACCTTTGCTGACACTCTGTTGTCGCAAATCACTCCTGAAACTTTTCTCCATCCACCCCATCCTGTCTGGACTCTCTTTTACCTCTTTATCACATGTGAGGTAAAAATGTGTCTAAATAAACTCATTGGACTTGTCTAATAATTGGAATTGTTACGGTGTCTAATTGAACACCTATATTTGCTCTGTGCACCGTGGGGGGAAAAAAAACTACGCTGTCTTTAAGTGGACACCTGTCTGTGTCTCTAATTAGACACATTGGGGTCATTGTTGTCTCCTAATTGGATTTCTGGACATTATTACTGTATCTAAGTGGACACCTGGTAGTTGTAACCTAGGGGTGAGTGGTAATCCGTCTATTCTGGGAAAGTTCTGACCAGCGTGCCTGGTTTATGTTGGGACACTTTAGGTTACTCCTCCAGAAACAACAGCAGGAGGCGCTAACACGACCTGAAACAGTGTAAAAACCACTGAACAAGAATAAAGCTGAAGTAAAATTTAGCAATAAAAACACAAACTGTTTGGGATTAATGTGACGGTTTTCAGTTTTCAAAATTATGTTGGTAAAAGTAAAGTCTGGGGCAAGGTTGGGCGAGAGAAAATTTTCATAAACTGAGAATGGGATTGGCAGGATTAAATTACACACTTCATGAAATAGGGGGGAGGGAAATACTGGGAAATATTCATAATGCAGTCAACCAGGAACAATAAAACATGTAATATTTGATATAAAAATTTAATCAAATACGCCCTATTGACACTCCAGCCCAGCAGGTGGAGCGTAACCACTTCTTTCTTTTTGATGAGAAAGAGATAAAGAGTCATTTGCTGTGGGAAAGAAAAACATGAGGATGTTGGATGGGAAAAGTAGAAAAATAATCCTAGTTTCTATAAAGTTATGTATTCAAATGTGAGAAGCTCTTTGAGCATTTTTGGCTGTAGAGAAACTCCAGCATTAAGCTGTGTTCCTCCAGAGACTGATGAGAGACAGGTGGCATCTGATGAGAGGATGAACAGTGATGGAAATAACTGAGCAGCAGTGTCATGTAAGTGTTCAAGCAGGGATATTTTATTTAACTGCTTTGTGAGAGGACTGTTGTTTTCCTCTTTATTATTTGTCTACATGGTTATACAGTCAACGGCTAATGCATAATCTGCTATTTTAGTCATTCATATAATCTGGTCATTCAGGAGATTGAGGCAATAGGTGACTAGTTTTTTTTTACTTTTGTACTATTGAAAATAGTTTATTTACAAATATTTTTCCATAGGCATACATTACAATCTCTTCAACTCATAAAATAATATTTTATTTCTTTAAAATATGCTTCAACTGCTGGCTATTTTTTTGTTCTTTTATACTTTTTTATTTTAAGTTATTTTTCTGCTTCCATTAGTTTTTAATCTAGCCTTTAGCTACGTTTAGCTTTTTTGTAGATTTTTGCTACCTTTACCTTTTAGGCATTTGGCTGCTTTTAGTTTTATTGTATCTATTTGCTACATTTAGCTTGGGGGCCGAGATGGTGTAGAGGCCCGAAAGTCCCAGGCTCGATCCCCAGTCACTGCACATCATGTGACGCCTCTGGGCAGCACGTCTCATCCCCAAAATGTCCCCCGGGTGCCTTCAATAGCTGCCCACTGCACCACCTGGTGGTGGATGGGCTAAATGCAGAGACTAATTTCGCCATTGTATGGAAACATATTGTGATGACATTATTATTATTATTGTAGCCTTTTGCCACTTTTAGCATTTCACTAGCATTTTGCCAGCTTTAGCTTTTTTTCCAACCTTGTGCTATCTTTACCTTTCAGGTAGCCTTTTGCTACTTTTGGCTTTATAGTAGTCTTTTGCTACTTTTAGGTTTTATCTAGCCTTTTATTACTTTTAGCTTCTCGCCTTTTGATACTTTAAGCTTTATTCTAGCTTTTTGACACTTTAAACTTTTATCTAGCCTTTTGCTCCCTGGATATATTTACTGTCTATAGTTAAACAACTTGACATTTTTACCATCTCTAGTTGAACACCTGGACACTGTTGCAGTCTCTAAACACTTGGATGCTGTTTCAATCTCCATTTGAACACCTGGAGGTTGTTACTACCTCTAATAGAACATCTGGAGTTGATTACCAACTCTAATTAAATACCTGGATGCTGATACCAGCTGTTGTTGAACATCTGGATGCTGTTACCATCTCTAGTTGAACACCTGGACACAGTTTTTGATCCTACTGGGACACCTGGGTGTTGTAACCATTTCTAGTAAAACATGTGAAGGCCGTTACTTTCCTTAGTTCAATACCTGCAAGCCGCTACAGCTCCCCTTTGAACACCTGGATGTTGTTTCAGTCTTTAGCTGAAAGCTTGTAAGTCACTCCTGTCTCTAGACTTGTAGGTCTCTACAGTCCATAGTTGAGGGCTTGAGATTGATACAGTCTCTATTAGAACATCTGGACGTTGTTACCATCTCTAGATGAACACCTGGACATTGTTACAGTCTCTATTGGAACATCTGGACGTTGTTACCACCCCTAGTTAAACACCTGGACATTGTTACAGTCTCTAGTTGAATATGTGAAGGCATTTCTTTGTCTAGTTAAACATCTGTAGGTTGATAACATATCTAGTTGAAAGCCTGGAGGTTACTACAGTCTCTAGTTGAACTTGTGGGTCAGCAACAGTCTCTAGTTGAGGGCTTGAGGTTGATGGAGTCTCTAGTTGAACACCTGGAGTTTGATACGATTTCTTATAGAACATCTGGATATCGTTACCATCTCTAGCTGAATGTTTGGAGGTTATCTTCCCTAGTTGAACACCTGGACATTGTTACAGTCTCTAGTTGAATACGTGAAGGCGTTCCTTTTCCTAGTTAAACATCTGTAGGTTGATAACGTATCTAGTTGAAAGCCTGGAGGTCACTACAGTCTCTAGTTGAACTTGTGGGTCAGCACAGGCTCTAGTTGAACATTTGAAGGTTGGTGCAATCTTTAGTTGAACACCTGATATAAAAATATGTTTTATATCAATATATTAAGTTGCCTTTATGCCTATTCAAACATATACATTTTGTGTGTGTTACTTATTCAGAATTAAATGTCTAAAATTGCCATAAAAGCAAGGGTGGAATGATATAGAAATGATTATTTTAATGCTTTTATGTCAATCTATACCTATATTACACTTATTTAAACACACTTATACTCACTTTTGATGCAGCTTATCTCTTATTTAGTCATTCCTGTGCTGCAGATGTGTTTTGGAGTAATTAAAGTTCTCTGGGGATGCTCTAACCAGAAGATTGGGCCCAATCTTAAGGTTACAGTGACCCAGGTTTTGAAGGACATGTTTTTCATGAAACCATCGCTCTGTTGCACAGACTGCTTTGATGAAGGGAAAACAGATTTAATTAAATCTGCCCTCCTGGCAACCATCACTGCTCTCACGCGATCAGGGAAGGTATATAAGAAATGTAGCAAACACAGGAAGTCGGAAGTCCTGTGATGGATCAGCACGCGCTGGTGCCATGCGCCATTTTGATGTGATTCTTCTTTACCTGGGTCGAAAACGACTTCCCGGCCAGTGTCACGGTGAGAAGTTATTTCATATCAATTTGTGTGTTAAGAGTGTACGAGTGTACATGTGTTTTCTGCTTGGCTGTTTTCTGTGGCAGGTTAATAAAGGACACTTATTACTCCTAGCAGTAACAGCCTCTGTCTTTTATTTTTCCCTATTTGTCTGAATATCTGTGCCGACCGTTCACGAGCCCTTTTGATAAAGAATTTCATAATACAACACCTGAAGATCGTTACAGTCTCTTGTTGAACATCTTGAGGTCAATACAGACTAATCAAATGCCTGGAAGGTGTTACTTCAGTTGAACATGTGGAGGTTGTTACAGTCCTTAACTGATCACCTGGAAGTCAGTACAATTTCTAGTTAATCCTCTGGAGGTTGGCACGGTCTCTAGCTGAACATCTGGATGTTTTTATCATCTTTAGTTAAACATTTGGATGTAGTTACCATCTCTAGTTAAACACATAGAGGTTGTTTCCATCTCTAGTTGAACACTTTGACGCTGTTACCATCTCTGGCTGAACACCTGGATGTCTTTACCATCTCTAGTGGAACATGTTAAGGCTTTTACATTCCCTTGTTAAACACCTGCTGGTCAATACAGTCTCTAGTGGAATACATGGAGTTTGTTATGCTCTATTAGAACATCTGGACATTGTTACCATCTCTAGATGAACACCTGGGCGTCATTACAAACTAGTGGAACACCTGGACATTGGTACAGTCTCTAGTTGAATACGTGAAGGCGTTCCTTTTCCTAGCTAAACATCTGTAGGTCTATAAAGTATCTAGTTGAAAGCCTGGAGGTCACTACAGTCTCTAGTTGAATGTTTGAAGGTGGTTCATTTGCTACAGTCTCTAGTTGAACACCTGGAAGTTGTTACTTTCTTCAGTTGAACATGGGGAGGTTGTTACGGTCCTTAGCCGATCACCTGGAAGTCAGAACAGTTTCTAGTTTATCTTCTGGAGGTTGGTACAATCTCTAGCTAAACATCTGGACGTTGTTATGGTCTCTAGTTAAACACGTGGAGGTTGTTTCCATCTCCAGTTGAACACGTTGACACTGTTACCATCTTTGGCTGAACACCTGGAGGTCTTTACGGTCTCTAGTGGAACACGTGAATGCTTTTACATTCCCTAGTTAAACACCTGCTGGTCAATACAGTCTCTAAATGAACACCTGGACATTGTTACCATCTCTAGTTGAAAGATAATTAAAGTCTCTAGTTGAATGACTCCATGTGGGTACAGTCTCTAGTTAAACTGGTGTTTTTTTTATCATATCTAGCTGAACACCTGGACGTTGAATAGGGACCACTTCACCCAAAGCAATTCTCTTAATTTAGGATCTTAATGAAGATGATTCAAGCCTACATCAAAATTGTACATCCTGTTCTCTGATTGGTACATGATATTTGAATTTGGCTGAATGTTTGTGGAAAATTGTTGGACTTTGACTGGTTGATCTTAGTGGGGGGGTCAGTGACCTGAAGATAAGTCCACAGCACAAATCACAACAGCAGCAACTGTAGATTTGTATGATTCAGCTGGAAATCCACCAGAGGCCCAAACTGAAATCTAAATTAACAATGAGGTTTACCATAGAAACACTTTGGATCTTTATTGAGTGAACATACACAGAACAAATTTACATAATTTAAGGATAATGTAAGTTCGATCCTACGTTTTCTCCGCAGATATGTCAGCAGGGTCATCTCAGGATCTGCATTCTTCTCAATGATCTGAAAATTTTAAAGAAAAGCATTTTTGTTGTGAGTTAAAAATTGGTACACCAGTTTTATTTGTAAATGTGCTGAATTACAAAAAGAGATCAAATGTATCAAGTCTCATTTTAAAGCGACTAAAATTTTGATGTTCACGTGATTTTATTGGTTTAATTTAAATTTTATACACATTTCTTTTTATCCCTTCTTGTTTTTACAGACTTGATGACTTTAATTTGGACTGAAAGTTTGTCATATTAGTTAAAGTTTTGATTGTTTCCACAACTTTTCTGTATTTTTCAGTTTGAAATGGGTTTAGATGTTTAAAACAGACAGAACTATGAATTTTTTTTTAACATTTCTTTTCATGTTCGTTTCAGTTTGCCTCCTGATAATCAAATCTAATTGATTTATTGAATGATTATTATTTATTTTTTTATGTTTTTACATATATTACAGCAAAAAAATTTAAAAAAAATTCTGAATCACACTAGTTTTAAGATTCTGCAAGATTAAATCTTATTAAAATCAGAAGAAATGTGGTTTAATTCGGATTCGGTCCTACCTTCCTTCCATTCACAAAGAAGACGAGTTCATCAGAACCGTTCCGGTCCCCAGCTTCAGCCATGGTCCCATTAACATCCCTCATGTTGGTGATCTCCTGCAGTAGCTCTATCTTGCTGGTTTTAATAAAGATGGTCCTAGTGGAGTCTGGACCAGCTCCTCCTCCTTAGAGAATTCAGACAACCAGACAAATGAGTCCAATGAGATGATGCATTCAGGGCCGCAACGAATCATGGTGCAGTCAGGAACAGAACAAAATGCGGTGTGTTCAGGGGCGGAACGAATTGTGGAGCAATCAGGAATTAAATAGATTACGATGTGTTCAGGGGCAGAACTAAATGTGGTGCATTCAGGAACAGAACCTGTCACAGTTCATTCAGGTCCAGACTCATTAGTTTGTTTATTTAGTCTGCATAAATTTTCAGAAGTTCAGAATAATGACAGCTGGTACCGTTGATCATAAAAATATCATCAGTGTCTTTAAGCTAATTATTCACCATTCATCTTCTACCTGCAGGTCAAAGGTCAACACACCCACAGGCTGCAGTACAGTACCGATTATATAACCTGTTTGACATCAGGAGGGTGGAACTGACGCAATGAGGCAGCGCTTCAAAGCAGCTGTTTACTGGTTCAGGTCTCTTAGGCTCCGCCTCCTAAGAAGGTGTGTCAATTTTAAAACATTACTTATAAATAAGCCTTCAAAAACAAAAATATCTTCAAAAAATTCCACTCTGCCAAATACTTCATTTAAAGGAAAAATAATACAGGGCTAAAATATTAAAGCTAGGTAAAATGTATTAGGAAAATAAAATGATAAAAATAAAATAGTAAATGGAAATGGATATTAATAAATATGAATATTTATCAAGAAAATTACCACCAAACAAAATAGGCAACTTTGTTAGTGAATAAATAGGTAGAAAGAGAATGAATTATGTAAATAAAAATGAAAACTTTTCAAAAACGTTTGAGCATAATTAAAAATCTACAATCACCTTCACTGGCACTCATCAGATTTCAAACTAACTAAAAACACCTTTCAACAAGAACAGTAAATTATCTGTGTATTACATATTATGACTTTTAAGTAAAATCTATAAATAAATGAAAGCATGTTTTTTTATATAAACTTGATTATATTTGGAAAAAATATATTAAATCAAAACCATTATATATATATATATATAT